GTGAATATTCTGTGTATGCATATATATATATACAGGGTGTCCCAGAACTCCCTTTACGCCCGAAAATGAGGAGGAGCTGAGGTGATTTTAAACAACTTTTTCCTTTGCGAAAAAGTTGTCCGAGGCGTGGTTATTGAGTTATTAACAAAAATCCCCGCCCAATCAGAGCGCGAGTATACAAGGCGGGCAGGAGCGCGATAACCGCCTCGCGCGTTGCCGCGCCCGTATGTCGCGCTCGTGACGAGAGCATAGGATTAAAGAAATGTTGCATGCAAAAACGAACTAACAAATTGGTTAAATATCAAAAGAAAGAAAGGGATTAGTCGTTACTTACGTTCACTGAACGAAAGTAACATACTGAATGAAATAACTAAGAAATTTACAAATTACAGAGTACGTAAAATTATGAAAAATGCGAAAAAAATCAGAATTGAACTTACTTCTTCGTTGGTCAGTGCATCTGCTCGTCGAAGATCGTCAATGGGTCAATGGGTCGACCTTCGGCATTCGAAGATAGGACACATGGCTCGCAGCAGCTGATGTTTGGAGTAAGTCAATGACCTGCACCCGACGATTTTTTCCTTATCATCACGATCATTGTCACTTTCCCACTGGCAAATTTTTACAAAACAAAAATTTTCACTTTTACACTTTCCAAATTCACTGCCACTTTTCATTTTACAAATCCACTGTCACATTGCACTTTGCAATTGAAAATTTGCATACACGTTTTTATTTTAATTGTTAGTTCCGATCAGAATATAGTTCGCGGAACAATTCCACTGCCGCTCTTGGATTACAAGTCACTTACGCGTAAATAACGAACATATTAAAATATTCCGTGTTCGTTAAGGCACTCACCGTTCTGTTTAGTGACGCAAGGCGAAGCCAACTGATCGCTCGCTTGAAGATTTTCTTCCAGAAAATGTTTCCCCACTCGGGGGACAAGTTCGTTAAAGAAAATGTGTTTGTATTTTTCAACTAAACTCGGCCTTCGTTTCCTTGTCGTCCTTAAAAATTCTTCACGTGCACTCAGAACACTCGAACCGATGACAGGAGACAGTTCTCAGACTTGCATTTACCAGACGCGAACGACTGAACTCGCCTTTTGTCGTACATAGCCTGCTGGACGCGCGCAGTTCGAGACCTTACCATAGAATTGTACAAAGAATAATCTTGCCAGTGGGAAAGTGACAATGATCGTGATGATAAGGAAAAAATCGTCGGGTGCAGGTCATTGACTTACTCCAAGCATCAGCTGCTGCGAGCCATGTGTCCTACCTTCGAGTGCCGAAGGTCGACCCATTGACCCATTGACGTTCTTCTACGAGCAGGTGCACTGACCAACGAAGAAGTAAGTTCAACTCTGATTCTTTTTACATTTTTCATAATTTTACCTATCCTGTAATGTGTAAAGTTGTTTGTTATTTCATTGAGCATGTTACATTTGTTCAGTGAACGTAAGTAACGACTAATCCCTTTCTTTCTTCTGATATTGAACCAACTTGTTAGTTCGTTTTTGCATACTACATTTCTTTAATCCTATGCGATCGCCACGAGCGAGACATACGGGCGCGGCAACGCGCGAGGCGGT